TTCCTTCCTTCCTTCCTTCCTTCCTTCCTTCCTTCCTTCCTTCCTTCCTTCCTTCTTTATGGATTTTTCTGCTTGGAAGTATATACTGTAGAGCACATTATGTAAAAAAATTAAAAATCAAGCTCAATTTTCCATTATTCCCTTTGTTTTGTATTTAAGACACAGTTGGATTTTCGTCGGGTTCTCTTTATGGTATTCATTATGTTGCAGCCTGCCTGTCTTCTATGAAAGTTTAAAGTAGGCCTTTATAATCACCTTTCTAAAGTTAAGTAAGGTGTAGTGATGGCTCAAGATTTATCCATTGCCAAGACTTCCTACCGGCTTTCTTGAAACACAGAAATAAATTTGTGTCCAGATTCAAAGTCTTGCTCACAGGGATCAGATAGGGTCAGCTGTCTGCTTATTTTAAATATTTATCTCCTGCTTTTTACTGATAAGACAGCGGGGGAAAATATTTGTGTAATTTTTTTAAAGTGTTACTTCACCAGAGTGATGCTAAATTGCAACATCCCATTTAGTTAATTGTTAATATAACATAAAGAGAACTGTACTGGGTTAGAGTGAAGAATTCTTTCGTTCTTGCCCCAGAAACCATAGGCTCAGTATTATTCTTATGGTCCCGTTTCCCAACTCTTGATAATTCAGAGATTGAGATAGACAGACAGACAGACAAGAGTGGGAGAGAGAGAGAGGATGGATAGAGAGATAGATGTGTGTGTATAATGTCTGTGTGTGTACATATGTCTAATTGCCACTGCTAGAAATAATATATATGTCTAATTGCCGCTGCTGCCCAAGTCCTCTGTTAATCTTCTAATACCCTTTTAAAACTGGCTGGGTGACCATCTCGTGGCAGGGAATTCCACAGTTTAACTCTGCAGTCTGCAAAGAAATGTCACTTTTCATCTCCAGTTGAAGAAGCAATTCAGCCTAATTTCTCTCTCCCTATGGAGAAAGGTTTCAACAAATATGAATGATTAAGCAGGAGATATTCCCCACCACCACCACCTTTGGCTTGTATACTTAAATACCTGGGTTAGCCCAAAGCTAAACTTATTTGAAAAAACGAAAATAAAAGGAAAAGGAGAGCAAGCATAAGGATGGCAGTTATTTTTAAAATCAAGAACCAGCTGCTTTAAAAAAATATTTGTGCTAAATGAAGTATTTTGTCATGAGATATGAAAGCCGGCTTGATAATAGAGCTGTGGTTAATTCAAAAACGATCCACAAATCTAGGCTGGCCAGCGTTTCAAAAGAGACAGGCCGCCTCCCCTTCCATCAAAAGTGCTTGAGAAAGAGAATGAGATTTACCTATATATAGGATTCTCAATTGGAAAGCAAAGTCCTTCTGAGAGTCCTTGCGTTGTTACTCTCCCCTCTTTCTTAATGGGACTTACTAACCTGACCTCAGATTCCTTGGACTGATCATTTGTAGTCTTGGTTACTGCTGTACAAGGATGACATGTAACACCGTTGAACAGCCCATTGTCAAATACTCAAAGATGGTTTGACCATTTCCCACCCATTGGTTGTCTGTCATGTAGCTACAATTATGGAATCAGCTTCCTCCAGCATGGCTCATGGCTTCATAAGAGGGTTAAGGAGGAGGACAAATCTAATTGAGGGACACTTGTCCTGAAAGCTAGTCTGGGCTCCCTGAATGTTTCTCCCTAGGAAGAAAGCCTCCTGAGATAAAACGGTGTCACGCAGTTTTCCATCTAAGCTTTTTTCATCAATGGATGATGAACAAGCTAGAGAGATTCTAACATGATGTGTGATGGATGTAAACATGCAAAAACAATCTAAACCTAGTTTCCATTGACTTTCAGTCTTGGAGATTGGATGTTAGTAGAACCTGGCTAACCATCTCACTGGTTTGGAATTTAGATAATCTCTTGGAGCTGACTTTTAATGTATCGCTAACCTCCTTGCTGGAAAGTCCATAGTCAGATGCTAGAACCATCTTGGCTTGTCCTTCTTCCTTTACTGCAAGTGTTTTAGGGACATGCGGAGAAAGCTTTATTTCATATCTTTTTTTAATCAGAACTTGTTAAGCCCATTTCTACATCGCCCTCTTCCAAACCAGGATCCAGAGGTTACCAGAATGTGAGCCCATTCTGCCCAGTAGCACTTAAAGCTTCACATAAGAGAACAACAAGTTCCTTGTCATATCCCTATAAAATGAATGAATCCGATCGCATGTGATTTTGATACAATTTCTGCGTTACAATAATGGTCCTGTCTTTACGAAGTTGCTTGCTGAGAGATAGGGAGCAGAACATTTTGCATATCTCTGGGTTGGACGCAGCATCACTGTCCCCGCTGTCCTCTGCTGACTTGCCTCTAATAAGAGAGAGCTCGTGACTTCCCACGTTGACTTGCTCCACTGCCAAGCGTGCTTTGCGTGGGAACGGTGCGTGGGGTTAACCTGTTGGACCACGAGCAATCCAGAAGTTGCAGCAACTTCACAGGAGTATCTTCCCCGGCGTGACGCATTGGCACGTTGCATAAGGCTGAGCCGGAGAAATTGGCGAAGCACCAACATGGGTGTTTGAAAGCCGGGATAGCCATGGGGAGCCCAGCTCCCTGGAGGCTGAAAATGCTGAGGCTAATATAAACCCATTTGACTTGAGGGGTGGGAGCGGATGGGTGTGTAGGGAGACGCACCAGGTTGCCTACGTTTGGAAAATGCCAGCATGGCAGCTGATTCAAAGTGGCACAGTTGCAGCTGCACCAGGTGTGCCTGGATGTAGCGCATTGTAAGTATTGGGTGGGTTTAAATCATCCAGGGCCAGTAGAAGCTGGAGCCCCGTTTCTTCTTGCAGCTGTCACTTTTGGAACTTTTTCCTAAATAACCACTTTGCTTCCTTGACGGAAAGGTGTGCTGGGCGGACAAGTGGGACAAAAGGCATTGCGTGATACACGGGTTGCTCAACAAATCCATCCAGACTCTCCCGCTAAATAATCTTTCGAACACTAGCATCCAAGCCATCTCAGCCCAGACTTTCCAAACTATTTGCTTTCAGTGAAAACAGAAGCTCTGAGGCAGGGTAGAACGCTGGGAATTTCCTACGCTGGAGCAGAAGTCTCTGTGTGTGTGTGTTGTTTTTTAAAATCTCATTACATAATACATGGGATTTTCTGAAAGCCTCAGAGGGACTTGTGTGGTCATATTCTGGCATGCTAAAAGAATCAGCTGTTTAAAAGTTACCCCTAAATGTTTAAAAACTCCAGCCTGGGGAAATCCACATTTCAAACCAACCTTGGGAAATCTGTTCCCCTGCCAGAGGAAAACCAGCAGACAAAACTACTAATTCCGCCCCCCCCCCGCTCCTTTGTTGGCAAAAGTTGAAGTGTCCTGCTCTTGTCTTCCAACAGGCACATTCAAGATCCAGCAAGCCAGCGGTTGACATGGAACAAACCTCCCAAAAGTGTCCTTGTGATCAAAAAGATCCGAGATGCCAGCCTTCTGCAGCCCTTCAAAGACCTCTGCATCTATTTGACAGAGGTAAGCTGGACTTTGCTCTGTCCCTCTCTCTCTCAGCTTAGATAAACAGAAACGTGGCTAAGAATCCTAGCTTTTTGCTGTTGGCACAGAGTTACCCCTGGGGACATCTAGTTGTAGGCCTAGATATGCGTCTAAGTTCAAATTCCCCAGGAATTCCCCAGTTTGGTCTAGTGGTAAAGGCACCAGGCTAGAAAGCAGGAGACGGTGAGTTCAAGTCCCACCTTAGGCAGGAAAGCCGGCTGGGTGACTTTGGGCCAGTCCCTCTTTCTCAGCCCAACTCACCTCACAGGGTTGTTGCTGTGGGAAAATAGGAGGAGGAAGGAGTATTAGGTCTGTTTGCCACCTTGAGTTATTTATAAAAAATAAGAAAGGTGGGATAAAAAACTCTAAAAAAAGAAAAGACATACAATATGAGGTGTGATGCAGATTTCCCAAAGCTGTTTTGGAGGTCTGGTTGTGTTACACACACTGCTCCCAGGTTCGGCTTATGGTCACTT